CTTGCCTGGCAGAGAAACCGCGTGCCTTGCGCCCCTTCTAGGCAACAGCCACCCACCCGTGACTCCCAAGCACCCCACAATCTGTCGAAACAAAGGGGGGAGGGGGCAGGAGATCGGGGAAGGCTCGGGAGTCACGGGTGGGTGGTGGGCTGTTGCCCAGTTTTTTAAAACTCTGCGCATTTATGTTTCACAGGGTGCAAAAAAAGGGCTTTGCACGTTTATACAATATGCATGTGTGCTTGGGCCCAGGGTCTTTGGCCTCATCATCCCCACTACTGACTCCCTGCTGCTACTCAGTTTAAAAAAAATAAATGTCCCCGGATTCATTGAAAAAAATCTGGTAACCATAGAGTAACTTTTGGTAGGAACCTATTCTCATGGGACCCTACCTTATACCAAGTCAAACTGCTGGTCCATCTAACTCAGTACAGTGGCACCTCAGGTTAAATACTTAATTCATTCCGGAGGTCCGTTCTTAACCTGAAACTGTTCTTAACCTGAAGCACCACTTTAGCTAATGCAGCCTCCTGCTGCCACCGCGCTGCCGGAGCACGATTTCTGTTCTCAACCTGAAGCAAAGTTCTTAACCTGAAGCACTATTTCTGGGTTAGCTGAGTCTGTAACCTGAAGCGTATGTAACCCGAGGTACCACTGTATTGTCTCCACTGGCTGGCTGACTCTCCAGGGTTTCAGGCACAGGGCATTCCCATGCCGACCTGGAGATGTCAGGGGTTGAACTGGGACCTTCTACATGCAAAGCAGCTGTCCTATCACTGCACTACAGCCCTTCCTCAGGCAATTGTTTTAGTGCAGGGTGACAATTTCAGGGATTTTGGATGTGAAAATGAGGGCCTTGTGGACAAAAAGGAGTGTCCCCGTTCTCACCTGTGTGGTGTTGGAGGACAAAATGTAAGAAATTATATTGAGGCACCAGCTGTATTACAGCGTAAGATCTCATGGACTATTTATCTGGAAGAGCCCATTCATAATGGCAGCAAGAGCGATAGTTGAAGGGGTGGTTGCTATAAGAAGGAGATACAGTGGTACCTCGGGTTAAATACTTAATTCGTTCTGGAGGTCCGTACTTAACCTGAAACTGTTCTTAACCTGAAGCACCATTTTAGCTAATGGGGCCTCCTGCAGCCGCCACGCTGCCGGAGCACGATTTCTGTTCTCATCCTGAAGCAAAGTTCTTAACCTGAAGCACTATTTCTGGGTTAGAGGAGTCTGTAACCTGAAGCGTATGTAACCTGAAGCATATGTAACCTGAGGTACCACTGTACTGGGATTCAGTTAGGACTTGTGAGGAATTTGATGCATGAGACATTAGTCACCGGAGGAGCTAATCTGCTAATCTGAGCAAGGCACGTTTGAAAAGCAAATGCTAAAGTGTACTCAGTGCGTGTGTTCACTAAGGGCTGGAAACTTGTGCATCTGGTTTGACCACTTGCATGCCCCGGCTGCACAGGAATGTCATCCCATTCCAAAGGATCCAGTCAGACTGGCTTTGAATCGGGACGGGACCAACGCAAAGTACTGGTGGATTCCTTTCCATGCCTTTTCCTCATGCCTTCTGTCTCCACCCCAAGAAGCTGAGTTCAATGTTAACCTTTGGGACTCAATGCCATGGGAACCGTTTGTGCAGCAAATGTCAAAGAGCAGGAGGCTAGAATGGCAAATCTCTCCCCTTCTGCTTCTGTTGAAAGGAAATGTAGGCAACGTATACCTCTGAGCTGAGATTTCACAGGCCTGACCCAGACTCCTGTTCCCGTGGTTTCACAATGAGGGATTTCCTCCTATTTCTTCCTAACACTTTCAATCTTCATCATGAGCCTGTAGGCAATGCTCCAGCTTCCCTTCCAACCATTTTATCTATTATTCTTTTTGCCTGTTCATATAGTAGAGCAAGACTTTAGTCTTCCGCCCAGTTTATCAACATAACCTGAATCTAGATGTTATCCCAAAGCTACCATGTTTACATGGAACTGAATTGGCCTATGGCTGCAGTTTTGTGCAGACAGTGGGAAGACACAGCTCACACATTAGAGCAAGGGCACATAACCCTTTTCAGCCCAGGGGTCAAACTCCCTTCTGGGGTCTGCATGCAGAGCAAGAAATGTACCGGTAACTTTATCTTTGCAAGGTCTGCTGAATTCTATTCACACCCATGAGCCCCTCTGTCCTCCATTCCAACAAGCGAAAGGCATGATCAGACACATTTGTAAGACACGTTTCAGCCAGGTGAGGAAGGTGCGAAGGTGAGCTGCTGAGGCATGTGGCCCGAGCCAGTAAGGGAGGGAGGCTTGGAGGTGCACATTTGGCCATGGGCCTGCAGTTCCCCAGCTCTGCGTTACGGATATGGACCCTAGGCTTTGGTTCAACATTCCCAGGCTGTCAGGTCTTGATTCAACTAACTAGTCCCATCCACGGAAACCTGTGCTAAGGCTACCACTAGTACAATAGGGCTTCCCCTTCCTCCCCCCATTGGCTCTGGAGGGGGGTCAGCAGAACCCCCATGACAGCATCCAGGGGAAGGAGGGCAGATCATTCCACCAGGCAAGCGGAAACGCTTGCACTGATGGAATAATCTGCTTAGCACTACAGTATGTTGAATTCCTTTGCTTTTTTAAGAACTAAAAATATGAAATTCCACATCAAGGTAATTCTAATTCAGCACACACCAAAAGATGGATTCTGCAGTCTGTATATATTATAGAAATTATGAATGGCAAAGGGATAAGGAGCTGTAAAGAGTAGGGCATCAACCCTACAACATTCTCTGGGACAGAGCAACTGCATTAGGTTGCATTAAACCAGGGGTGGGAAACCTGTGGCCCTCTGGAAGTGGCTGGACTACAACACCCAGCAGCTCCAAGCAGCAGTCAGTGGTGAAGGATTCTGGGAACTGTAGTTCAACAATATATGGGGGGGGGCGCTTCAAATTTCTGATCCCTGCATTGAGCAGAGCAGCAGCCCAAGGGAGGAAGCCTGCCTGAGGGAGCAGATTGATGGTGTATTCAAGGGCAACAAATTTAAAGTTAGAATAAATGTGCTCAGCACCATCTTGCCTGTGAGTTGGAAGAGACCACAAGGGTCATCTAGTCCAACCCCCTGAAATGCAGGAATCTCCAGCGTGGGAATTGAACCTACAACCCTAAGATTAAGAGTCTCGTGCTCTACAGACGGAGCTATCCGATTTCCAAAGACCTGCTTCTTGCCTTGCAACCTGGCCTGGGGCCCTGACTCTCCAGCTACAAAAGCTGAGGCAGCTGAACAGAGTCTTGGGCTGGGTTATTGTTTAGGGGTTTTGTTGTTGCTGTTATTTATATTATTTATATTAGTTTTATGATGATTTACATGGAAATTGCTCAATTTGGTTGTGTGCTTTTTTTGTTTTAATTATTCTCTTTGACTACTTTTGTATTTCATGTTCTAAGCCACCTTGAGCATGGTTTTAACTATGGCCGATTTGCAGCTGATTGACCAAGACCCTGCCAGCTGATTATCCTTCTTTATCATAGCTGTACCATTGTGGAAGCCTGATTTAATGCAGCAGAATGAAGTGGTAAAATCTTAATAGACTGTACCACCACTTCAAGGGGAGGGGGTTGCCATTTTTGATTGCTTCCTGCAAGTAAAACACTGGGAGAAAGGTTCTATCCCAGTATACTTCCCACAATACTAGTTTACAAAGCTCCCCCCCTTTAAATCACAGGAAAGCACTCCAATAATTGACAACTGAAGGTCACGTCACCTTATTCTACTCCATGTGTGGACCAGGTCTAGTACATATCCTCAGCTTGTTCCAGCTCATATCTTACGGCAGGAAAAAACGTTTGTAGCTGCTTTCTGCCTGTTCACTTACCTAAAACAGGATAAGCCTTGACTCTTCTCCTGACCAAACTTGGGTCTGCTCCCTTAGGCTTAGCCAACAGCACTTCCTCTATTCTGATGGCTGCACAAAGCACTTGCAAAAGCTCATTTAGCCATGGTTTGAGTAGCTATTTCAATTCAGGGAAGCAGGCTGCAATTGCTTACCAACTATTTCCCTCTGCCCAAATGGCAGCAAATATGAGGGCTGGTTATCAGCGGGTTGGTGACTGCTCCTGCAGGGTTGATGTTACATGGTGCCAATGTAGCAACAATAGATAAGCTGGCACTGGCAATTAATTAAGGCATGGTGCCTGGCTACTCTTCCGCTTTCTAGAAAGCTGGTCTGTGATGTGTAAGATATGAAAGCTGGTCTGTAATGTGTAAGCTAATGAAACAATTAGTATAAAATAAAGGTTTTTCTCTGAATAGTCCCTGCTACCTGTTAGCCAGCCACAGTTGTACGGAGACACATATACATCTCTTTGGATTGGAAATGCAATCAAATGCCCATTCCTGGCTGCCACGTGGCGCTTAAAAACCTGTTCTTCCCTACTGGTTGTAGGGCACCAACTGTAATGATGGGTCACTGACCCTTTCGGAGTCTTTCCAGGAGAAGAGCAGTAGATGGTGCATCAGGGATGAGAGGGCAAGTGAGGAATGAAGTCCAGCTCAAAAGAACAGATCAACCGGAGATATTGTGCTTATTTGTTCAACTGGTCTTTCCCCCCGTCTAATACAAAAGCTCAACTCTAACATAGGAGACATAGCTTCACTGGATGACTGTTGTCTAAAACAGCCTTCGGTCATGGAACCCACCAGGCTCCTGAGAATCTCAGATTCCTTTTTTAAAATTAAGTTGCCAAAATGGAGATCCTGAAAGGTAAAATGGGTGAATATAACATGGGGGCGGGGAGATAAAGGAACTCCTCCTTCGATCTCCTTCACAGCGCTCTACGTTTTCTAGTAAGTCTGACTATTACAGGCCTTGCCGTCCCTTATGAGGCCTGGCTAAAGGAATGGTTACCAGTTAAGTAGCGTGTGTGTGTGTGTGTGTGTGTGTGTGTGTGTCCTCTGTGCATTGCAGTGTACTGCAAATCTATTTGATTACTTTACTCGATCAAACAAGGCAATATTTACATGATTTATTCTGCTTATAACGATCTTGCAGAATTTGGCATTTCTGGTCAAGGAATTTTAATATCTAATTGGCAGTAAACCAGCACATGGAGTGGGTCAAAGGGCACATCCAAGTGTGGCCCATGTGCACCGTTCAGTTCGAAGAAGCCGATAACCAGTGGCTCCATCTCTTGTGGGGGAATCATGGGAGCTGAGCATAAAGGGATCCCTGGAGAAGCAAGGAAAGGCGACCCATGAAAGGGTTTCGTAGGAACAAGAAAGCACATCAGAGGAAGAGGCTTGGATATTTTGCTTTGTTTTCATACTTCAAGTACATCCTCACCTGTTCTTGCTTCATTTTCTCATTCTGCACAGGGAAGTTAAGCACCTCTCTCACAGGTGAAACACAAAGGGGTTTTTTTTTTGGGGGGGGGGAAGAGAGAAGTAGAGCATAGATCAATACTTTATTTCAGGCACCAAATACCACTTTGAAACCTGTCTTCCTAAAGCAGTAGACTACCTACCCACTTCCCTCCCACCCCTTTTCAAAGCTGCCACTCTGCAGCCTCAGAAAGCAATGCCAAGGGGGAAGGACCTTTAGCAAATCCCGGCCCTTCATGAATTTTGGACACAACACGAAGCTGCAGGAGTAGTTGAGTGCACTGGTGCTGTGGCCCTTGCATGAATGGGGAAGGCAGAAACGTTTGTTCACACCCAGGATTCGAGAATAAAAAATAAATGGCCACATTAGGTGGATTGTATAACCACAGCAGTAATTAGGAAGACACCACACTCGGACGAGGAGAGATCTTTCTTTTCTAGGAGTTAATTGACCTTCAGGCCAGCCTGCCAACAGTCTAGGTCCCTCGTGGGACAGGTTCCCCCGCCATTTGCATGGGTCCCAACTGTGGGGTTCAAGGTCTACTTTCATCACAGGACAACCTGGGACCTTCCCAACATTGCAGAGTTGTCGCCTACAGCTTCTGAGCTTGTGCCAGAGTCCATTTTGTTACCAACACCTCCTTTCCACGATGCAGCTAAAGGCCTGGCCCATTCCTAGGAAGTGCTGACATGGAATGACAAGTGGTGTGTTCTCCAAACCCCCCCCCCCGTCCCTCCTCCCCCGCTGCTAGGCACAGGGAGAATAGAAGAGTCAGCAGCGGGAGAGGCCAAGAAAGCCAACAAGCAGAGCGTCAGGGAGACCACACGGCTGGGCAAAAAAGTCGGGAGCCTGTGGTGCACTCCCAGATGTCAGGGGCCACACGTGAACAAACAGGGACTGACACCCAAGTGGGAAAGAGAAGAGAGGCTGCCACGTGGAGCAAGACAAAGCAGCCACGGAGGTGGTCCTCCTGTAGATGACCACAGCTGTTCCTCAGAGATGAAGGCGGAGTGATTTCAAATGGTTGCAGGTTTAGGGACCCACTCCACTGAAGACCCTTCCGTTAGAAGCCAGGATACTAGTGTTAAAAGGGGGCAGGTGAAAGAACCGTTAACACACTGCTTAGCCCCCCCAACCCCCTTCATGCTTGAACATTATTATATCCCCAGCTCCCAAGGGTGAGGGAACCTGGTGGGCCCTGCAGTCACACTCTGCTTCCACAGAAGCAGCTGAGCTTCTCTCCGCTCTCCAAAACCCAACCGGAAGAGTCCACCTTCCCACCACCCTATAAGCAAACTGCAACCCTCCCATTCAAAAGTGGGGAGGTCTCACTTAGGATTGGATCATATATATAGATATATTCAATAATGAAGGAAGGGCTGATGAAGGGGGAAGCCCAGCATGCCCCAGTTTGTGCGTGTTCCAGCTCCTTGCAGAGGAGGTCCAGTCCTTCTCTCGCTTCTCCCCCAAGCACATTGGAGGTTGGATGCCAAGAGCCAAAAAATGACGGGGCAAAAGGGCAGCCGAAGGAGCTTTGATCAGCAGCAGCAGAGGAGGGGAGGGGTCCCAGGTATTATCATCCTTCCTGCCAAAACATGCACCTAAGGGGTGTCAGGCGAACACAGGAGATGCAAACGAATTATCAACTTTTGTCTGAGCCACTGTCTCTGTGCAGGGCACTCTTCTTCATGCTTTCCAAGTACTCCTGTTGTGACACCGCCAGCACCGAAGCCAAGATCTCGTCGTCATCCCAGTCGCTCAAGCCTGGCAGAAGACAAAGGGGTTGAAGCGGTCACAGGTGGAGTCATGGATCACTCGGTTCCTGCCACTAGCCGTTCTCCCACCACCTCTCACACACAGCCAACCATGCGCAGTCGACTGCATCATAGTTCCATGTCCACCCCATCCTTTGCCACCACAGCCGCTGATGCTCCAGACTGGATGCTTTCACCTTAATGGCCATAATAAGACTCCACAAGGAGTGGCAAAATAATACTTCATTTCAATGCTCCAAGCATTCCTGTTTCAGAGTTAGCAGTTTTCAGTTTCTGAAACTCAACTTAGTCCATCTGAAAGCTCTCACCCCTTTTCATTTTTGTAAATCAAAATCTAAATTTTACATAATTTTGGAATTGCAATTCTTTTTTTTTTTTCTGTACTCACAGGGCTCTATTATCCATGATTCTTTTTATAGCACTTATTTTCCTCCTCCCCACCCACCCTACTGCCCACCATTTCCATAGTGTGAAGTCAGGGAAGAATTAAGTGGGAAGACCACAAACGGAGGTATGTGATCTCCTCCTCCCAAAGAAACCAGCTGACTCCCAAGAGATTGTGCAAGGGCCAGGGAAAATGTGAGAGCTAGTTGCCCTGTAAATCATGCAGAATCCCGTGAAAATCCTGGTAGCTTTGCCCTGAATCTTAGGCAATTTTCAGGGTTTTACTTTTTGAAATATGGCAACCCTGATGAAAACTTCAAAATGAAAGCAGATCTGAGGTGTGTTTCCAGCAGCCCAGAAATCCTCACTTAAAATAACTGCTCAAGCTGACTCCTCTTGTGTCATCTTCCCACAAGGCCTGGCATTTTTAGATTTGCTCAAGCTTAGGACAATGAATTTTGACCTGTTTCCTCTCCATATACACACTAAGCAGTTATATATATTGTGAAAAGCAGCCACTGAATGCAGGGTTCTGTACTGGAAAACTGAAGGAGTCTTCAGCTACGGCATCAGAATGCCTGGAAAGAAAATAAGGTTCTGAATGGCTAAAGAGCCACCTCCCCTTAACGCCTGAATGCTTGGCTCAAGGGAGGGCACTTACCAAATGCTGTTGGTGACATCTGCTGCATTATTGCCCGACACTCCAGGGCTGGATACAACGATACTAAGGGAGGGGTTGCTCGGCCACCGCCTGCAGAAAGCTGGCTGCTTGTACCTGCAGATCGATGGTAGAATTATTTGCATGCAAAGGGGATGTTCATCTCCTAAGGGTCAATTCTCAACAAACTCTCCAACAATGCCCTGCCCCCTGGTATTCCTTTACAGGCAATTTAAACTTAACAAGTTTGCAGGTGTTTTCCTGTGATGGATAAAAGATTCTGAACCCTGACATGAGGGCCAGCGGGAAACTTCCGGTAGTGCCAGCGGACATGCGCTCATGGTCACCAGAGTCGCACGAACCTACCTCCCCTGATACTTCACGGCTTGCATCAATTTACTTACCCGCGGGACGCTCCACGCCGGATTCACGCCCCTTGATACGCAAACCATGAGCGGCAGTTGGTACCGCTCCACTTTATCTGACATATTCTGCATACTTACTATTCCAGTTCCGAAGAGAACCATATCGGAACCCCGTGTAAACTTATTCGTCGGAGGTCCATTCTAAACTGTTCTTAACCTGAAGCACTACTTTAGCTAATGGGGCCTCCTGCTGCTGCCGCACCGCCAGGGCACGATTTCTGTTCTCATCCTGAAGCAAAGTTCTTAACCTGAAGCACTATTTCTGGGTTAGCGGAGTGTGTAACCTGAAGCGTATGCAGCCTGAAGTGTATGTAACCCAAGGTACCACTGTATATATTGTGGGATGGCCAAAATCTCAGTGTTTTTTATTTTATTTATGTTTTTGTGTGGGTTTTTTTATTAAAAAAATTATCTCTCTATCAAACTTTTTTGTATATAGCTGTATAGTAAAAATATCTGTGACTTACTGATGAATATTAGAGATATGCACACACAGAGCCAAAAGATGAAGAAATCCACAGGCAGAACCTCCTGCATTCTTTATTGGTAACTATCCTGCCCCCTTTTTAGGGCTGTGTGGATTCTGTCTGGCATACTAGACATCAATTCAACATCCTGCAACTCTCTGCAACAAAATGATCCAGGGAGTCACCCGAGGCAGAGGTCATTATCCTGCACTAGTGAGTCCTCTAAGTGACTGTGCCAGCCACTCTTTGGCCTCCTTTAGGCCTGAGAATAGAGGGGCCTCTGTGAGGACTCAAATCCCTCTCTGCTGTGAGAGAAATAGTAATCCAGAATTGCAAGTCGTCATGATGGAGGGCTATTAACCCCTTGCTCTGCTGGCCTCACCACTTTTCTGTTCTAATAAACCACCTCCCCATACCTTAAGATCTTCCAAATCCAAAACTGACAGGAGGTGAAATCTGTGGGTGCATGAATGGGGAATCCCTCCCATTCTCCTGTGGCACCTCAGCAGTAAAACAGCCTTTCCAGGTAGGCCTATCTGACTTTCCAAGTTCACTACTAAGTGAAAATTTCCCTCTGCCTCTGGGATATTTAATTCTGTTGTGTTTAGCTTGCTTTAAGGATTTTCACTTCCAACCCATTTACAGCTAGATCTTAATTGGTTGGAGAAACACTTTATGCCTGGCTTCTGCTGGATATGACTGTTATGTATTTTTATTTTACTTACTTCATTTATTTTAAGGGTTGTTTTTAAACACAGTCAGTGTGAACCTCCTCAAGCAATGCAACTGGAAAGGTGCTCCATTCCCCCCCCCAAAAAATGAAGGTAAGAAAAGCTTGTCCTTTCCTTGTCTTATCTTGTCCTTTCCCTCATTCCCCACTTTTGCTGCCGGATAGCTAATCTCCCCTCTCTCCTATCCCTTCAAAATGGCAGTGAGGAAGCAGCTGTGGAGAAATATACCACAGTAGTGCATTATGGCAACTGCACCACAGCCCTTCTGCTCCCCCTTCTAGACTTACAAAGGAGATGCAGCTTCTACAGGACCACAGTGATTTGAAGCAGAACAGCACTATGAAGACTGGATCAAAACAGAACAGCACTATGGTGTCTACAGGTGTGGTGGAAGTGGCAAACTGCATGACCTTGTCCTGTCATCTGGACAACCAGAAGGAGCTCAGAGAGACCTATGTGCCTTGCAGGTGTTTCGTGTGCAAGAAGAATGTGCCTGACACCTGGGGAAAAACACGTTTGATCTGCACATATCCCAAGTCACAACCAAGCTTGTCTCCCTGTGACGTAGTGGCCACCTCACCCAGCCCCTGCCATAGCTTAAGCCCTCTTGCTCCCCACCCGGAGGAGTCATTCTGCTCCCTGCTCTGGCCCATGGGGCACTTACCAGGAGCACACGGCGAGGGGGGCTTTGTAAGTGCTAGAGCTGCAGTGCTCCCAGGGGAAGGTGGCTTGGCAGCGTTCAGCTCATTGTGCAAGTCGGGGTGCTCTGGGGAAGACGCCGAACTGCGCTGGCGTGGAGAGCGGCCGCTCCATTCTTCCAAACCGCTGGCTGCAGCCGCCGTGGCGGAGCTGCAGGTAGCGCTGGCTTTGCAGGGCTGTGGAGAAGGGAAAAGGCAGAGATGCTATTCAGGGCCAACCATCTTGTTGCTCAGTTTCCCTGAGCCAGGCCGGCATTACAGCCAGTCTCAACAGAAGGGGAGACTCACTTCCCCACCTCTAGTGATCCCCAAGATGCCCCCAAACCCTCATTTCCCCTTCACACGTGGAGGAAATAAACCAAACCTGTTTGGCCTGCTTTTCCTGGTCACGCAGCCACTGCAAATAAGACTCCCTGGCAACCTGCTCCTCAATGGCCTCGTTGGTTGCTTCCCAGTCAGTTGCTCGCTTCTTATCTTCTAGCATTTGCTGCTCGATCCATGACTCCTCGGATGTCTTGATTGCGTTCTTCATCAAGGACTGCTCCGCGTACTACAGAGAGTGGAGGGAGTTCAGCAAGCCCACTGGAGTCCCAGGCTCAAACCCGCTGCCCAAGTTTGGTTGCATGTTTTAAACAGCAAAAGGAGATAAGCCCTCTCCGTCATGAAAACAACCACAGGGGCAACTGTACTTTAGCACAGTGCTAAGCAAGCCTCCTGCCAGCGCAAGGATTTCCGCTTGCACAGCAGGACTCCCTTCGCCCTTCCCCATTTCTTTTAGGAGGCACCCCCAAGCCTGCCAAGCAGACATGGGAAAGGTGTGGGATACACACAGGGGAGAAATCCTTGGGCTGACAGGATGTGCTATGTGGATTCTGCCTACAATTGAAATAAAGAAATCTGGGTGAGAGTGGGAGGAACTTGCCCAAAGGTTGTCTTGGAAGAGCACATATCTATTCAATTTTCCCCTAGTAGATAAAGGAAAGGATGAGATTAATTCATCTTAAATGCGGCTGGACAAGCTTTGTCAGATCTGGGGGAGGAAACAGGTGATAGTCTCCTAGCAGCCAGCAGATAGCCTTCTCCAGCCTCTTTGAGGTTGGCTTGGAAGTGGCTGGGGAAGGCATCCTACAGCTACTACCTCTTTACATGCTTCTTCACCCTGCTCTGCCAGAATCGCCACACGGCCACATCAGAAATGCGATGGTGATTGGCAGGCCCAGCACTCTGGACAAAATGCCCCATTCTTCAGACGGGTGGGTTGATTCAGCCCCACCTCATTCACCAGATCAAGCTGAGCAATATCTGAGGCCTGGGGGAGAGGACCTCTAGCGCCTCCATCTGCCCCATTTGCCAACAGAAAGAGCCACCTGGAGAGAAGAGCAGGAGGCGAAGCTGTGAGATGAGCGAGTGGTTGGCTGGGGGGCTGGACCTCCTGCTGCCTCCCTGCCAGCAGTGGCGCCACCACTCCCTCCCTGCACCATCATGCCTCCCCGCCCCACAGGTGAAGCCAGCACCCTTGCTGCCATCTCCTGCCCCTTGTGGCTAGTACCCAGCACTAGCCATGACTTGGGCATTCACTGCTGCTGGAGGCTTGCCACTTCCTGTTCCTTGACCCTGGCAGCTACAGCGGCACACTCCAGGGGTGAGTAGAGGGGTGTTGAGGAGAAGGAGGCAGCAAGCAGCTGGTAATGGTGGACACCCAGCTGTGCTGAGTGCTGGGTACTAGGTGACGGTGAGGGGCAGAAGGTGTGGGGGGGTGGCTGCACTGGGGATTTTGTCTCTAGCAGCACAATGTCCCGGGCCACTCCTGGCACCATGGAATTTTCTTTTTTAAAAAATATATTTTTATTGATTTTTACATGAAATTTCCAAAAAAACACAAAACAACAACAACAACAACATATTTTCTCATCTTATTCAGTGTTTTGGACTTCCATCAACCACATCTGAAGATTTTTCAATCTTTATCAATCTGCATTTCATTAATTTCACTATTACTTTTAATAGTCCTTCACTAATAGATCTCTTCATAACCTTCCTTGCAATATTTCATATGTTCCTCCTTACAAAACTTCTTGCAATCCCACTAGCGTAATCTGTTGATTACAATTGCTTTTCAAATAGTTCACATATTTACTCCAGTCGTCGTGAGAATCTCTGATCCTGCAGGTTTCAAATCCTTCCTGTCATCTTGTCTAATTCTGCATAGTCCATGGAATTTTCAAAGGGTAGCAGCTGAAACAGTCATTGTAGTAGCAGCAGCAACTGGGAACTTCTGACTCATTTGCCTGGTTTGGCATGCAAGGGCATTTTTAAAGCCATGCCCTACCTGCTCTACACCTGGCACCAAACATAACACCAGGGGTGTGGCAGGTAAAAGAGGGCTTGCAGGCAGCACCAACCAGCCAGTTGCCAGTACCTGAGAACAGCCCTGTGCAAAGCCCCATGCCCAACACATAATATTATTCTATTATGTATTATTTTTTGCTTGTTCTCAGTAGCGTTGGAGCCCAGTTATTAGGCAGAAAGGCAGGATATAAATACATGCTGGTCCCACTTTCTGAACACAATGCATTCCCAGGAAATCATTTGTTAGGCGAGCATTTAAATTATTTCCTATGGGAATATTTCAAATTCATGATTTGTCCAATCTCCCTCCATGGTTTCTTCCTAAAACAGCTGCAACCAATTAACAAAAGCAAGCAAATTTGGAAAGCAAGATTTTCTATTTATTTATTTATTTCAAATTCATGCAACACCACCAAGTTGAGTAGCTGACCTTTTATAAAAATAGAAATACACAGATCATACTGCAAGGTTACACGATCAGACACACATCTTAGTCAATTGGATTTCTCCCTGCTCTCTCTTTATCCATCAAGCCTTACCTTGCCACATCCCAACCTTTCAACCCCCAGAGGACACCCTGGTAGTGAGGGATACTGAACTCCTCGGCTAGAGAGACCTCCCTTCCCCAGAACCCATCCAGGAAAGACTCACCCCTGGCTTGAAGGAGGGCAGCCCCAGTCCCACACCAATGGTAGCCTTGTTGGGGTTCACCACAGAGTTGTAATGTATGTTGCGGTGATAGCTCACTCGGATGGGCTCATCCTCGTTCTGATGGATGCCATGGAAAGTGTTGATGGGCTCTGGAAGGGAAAGATGGCAGCTCAGTGAGAGGTGTAGCATAATCCCTGCCCTTTGCTCTCAGTGAGAGGCTGGCATCCCCAGGCCATGGCTGGCATGGGCAAGAGTTAGGGGACAGGAAGTAGGAGCCATGCATACCTGTGCCATACTGGTAAACCTCCACAGGTCGATTGTACATCTCTGCCATAGCCTGCATCTCAATATGGTTGCCGTGACAGTTGTTTTTCCGCTTCCGGTTGATGTAAGTGGTGAAATCTTCTGTTACGTAATTGGAAAAGTAATCGGCATTCTTCATCTGCAATGTGAAAGGGCCTCAAGGTTAGAAGGACGGAGAAAGGCTCCCATTTGGGGCAAGAAACAGCATGGGGAGGTGGGAGAGCCTTTCCAGGAAAGGATTCTTGGCACAAACCCATTAGGAGAGCTGAACCTGCAGAGATCAAGGGGTCCCCATGCTGCATTAGAACTGTTTTGCTCAAGGCGGGTTCCACACATATGGGGCAGTGGTCAAACAACTTAATCATGTTGGGCCATTGGGCATAATGTGTAAAGTGGCTCCAACCATGGAACTGGGTCATTTAACACTATTACCCCAGTCACATGGAAGCTGTAAACACACACACACACACACACACACACACACACAATCAGAAGCAGCAGCTTCAGTATAGTTGGGGTAATGCTTAAGAGTCCCCTCAGTGCCAACAGGATTCCACAAGGGAAGGGCCTGCCAAACACCTTTCAAGCAGTTTATGGATGGCTCCCTGAGCTGCAATTTTAAGAGACACTGTGGAGATATACATATACATATGTGTGTGTATTTATCTGTATAATTTAGAGGTGGTTGGGAGAGGAGGAGAAAGAACAGTGGCTGTAGCATCACTTGTACCATTTCAAAGGAGGGAAGGTATAATATTTTCATAGGAAGAATGTCCTTAGTGCCCAGAAGTAACAGCTGGAGAAGAAGCTAAAGCCAGGGATTTAGACTGGCAAGACTCTGTTCTTTATTGGCTGCCTGTGTTCACAGAATACAGAATGCCTGCTACACACAGTCCTGAAGGTCAGGCTTAGAGGTGGAGAGAGAAGCCCACCCTCCTCTAGATTCCTGCCGTCACTCACCAAGTAGTCCATACAGTGCTTCCTGACCACTTCATGCATGTCTTGGTCACCATATACCTGGTCAGCTGCAAAAAGAAATGAGAGATCATCACTGACCCAACCCAACAATCGCTTACCTCATAAGCAGAAAAGAGAAGCAGGTTTGGAAGCACCTAGTTTTCCTTGCATGTAGCACAGCTTCATAGCTGAAGTTGCTGATTTGCACCAAGTGAACCCAGATCAGTTTCTTATTCCTCCAGTACTCAAAAACCCTGGGATGGTCCCACTGAGTGCTGTCTTCAGCATTCCAAGGGAGGCGTGTGTGGCTTTTCTCTTGTCTGCAAGCTGTGCAACATGGTTCTCTTCCCCCACAGTACAACAAACCAAGCAGATGCAAGTGCTGAAGGTGGCCTTTCCCCCGACCCCCCAGCTCCAAACCCAAAGATAGCAATCAACATTTGGCTCCCAAGCTTGCAGACACTTCTTGGGCACCCTTAAATCTTCTAGCTGGGGTTAGCTTCTTTAGTATTTCTCATTGCCTATTCTGATTTCTAGCCGCCAAATGTGCCAGATGTAGAGTTGGCGAGAGCACCCTTTAACCCTCTTGCTTTGAAAGGCTTTCTTTTGGTCCTCCTTTTTTGTAGCCTTGTACCATTTTGCTTGCTGTTGATTTATGGCAGTTTATTGCACTCTACTGAATATTTTTTTCTTCTCATACTGCTGTTTACTGCTGTTTGGGGCCTTTTGGCTAAAAAGCACCATATACTTATTTGTAATTTGGAAGCATGTAACCCTGATATCATGTGTCACCCAGAGGGACCTGACTGATCACATATTTAGGGTCAGGAAAGGAAAACCTCCCCACAGGACAGATTTTGGTTAGTAGCTGAGGGTAAGGCTTGTGGCTGCAACACACCTACTCAGCCTGCAAGTACACTGTTACCTGAACTATGAGGACCTGCCCTCTTGACACAGAGAGGTTAGATGAGTTCTCAAGCAGAAGCCAAAACAAGGACTTCTGCTGGGTCAACAGGGCTATTCACACCCTTGCCTGCTCTTGCACCCATACCCACTCCCCTGGGGGGCTTAGGAGAACCATCAGAACAGCACGGGGGGGGGAGGGAGGTGTATGGGGATTGTTCCATATGGGAAGCTGAAATGCTTTTGTTGATGGAACATTTGACATAGTGCTACCTTAAATTCCTCCCAGAGTCATTTATTCCATTAGAAAAACATTTTAATGCTAGTTTATCTAGTCTACAGCTGGAAAAGTAGTGGGCCTATTATTTCTACTTTTGCTCTCTCCCCTGATTTTTTGTTTGGTGCTATTTCTGCAACACACACACATAGAGCTCGTTTCTGCACAGGCTGGGTCACCAAAAGCTTTAGTTGAGTAATCTAACAATTAAAACCGATTGAAACTGGGAGCCACAGTTCCATTATTTGTCAGCTAATCCACAACAAGGCAGCTAATGAAACTGATCAGAGCCAGTACTGAAACTGACAGATGCGCTGAAAAGTAAGATCTTACAGATTTTTCAACATCACAAAAACTCGTTTGCAGATGTGCAACCATTTCCAGGGGCAAGTGTAGAAAAACAACCAGCTGCCAGCTCTGGGAGCATCAGAGAAGCAAATGTTGCAGCAAAGTGGATAACCTGGGAAGGCAAAGTAGCTGAGGGGTGGTCACAGCTATCTGAAACCAATTACTGAAAAGTGCCAAAATCCCTTGCTATTTTGAGTTGCCTATATGGTCTCTACTTCAAAATACTGCTGTTAACTGAAAAGACGTTAGGATTCAATATGCAGAACCCACAGGGATCCCAAAGCAATACCATATTCAGACTCTACGAGATTCAAGGCTCAATTCTTATTAAGGCATAACAAACGGAAATCAGTAAGTTGGCTTCGCATGGTTCAAACTTATCCATGGCTCTGGGGCAGTCAGATCAAAAGAAAATAATGTAAGGGGCAGGAAGAAGAGGAGAGAACAGCCTCCTGAGTTTGGAAAGGACTGGGATGGGCCACGGTTCAGGAAGCAGCTGGGAAAGGGGTGACTGTGCAAGAAACGAGAAAACTTAGCATTTGTGGCAAGTATAGAGAAATCCAGTCATAATCAGGGGACTTGGTTTATAAAGCTCAGCAACAAAGAAATCCAAATGACTCTCCTGAGCTACATGCCATGTCCTGAATCTCCCACCCAGCCCAATCAACTTACACTGAGGGAGGCGGAGAGAAGAAACTATCCTGGGATGCTTGTCAGCAGCCCTTACCTGGGAATAGTATTTTGGGGAGGCACATTCCCGATGTGGAGCCAGTGGTGGCAGAGACAGGAGAATGAGGCTCAGATCATCACCACACTCAAAGGTGAGAGTAGAAGAGAAATGCCAGGAAGAAAAGAGACCTGTGACAACCACACAGGACCACAAGGTCAAGAGATAGCATATGGAAAAAAGCTTCTAAGCCCAAGAGTAGCAAGTGCTTTCTACACAGCGAAGCGTCTTGGGATGATGCCTCTGCTGCTTCTCCAAACACAGCAACTTTCTCCTGCTTCTCTTCTCTTCTCTTCTCTTCTCTTCTCTTCTCTTCTCTTCTCTTCTCTTCCACTTTCCAGCAATCATTTCCCCTCCCTCTTCCCCTTGCTTCCCTTCCCATGCCTGCTTTTTTTCCTACTTCTTCTCTCATATTCCGCCCTCTGAACCTTCCCTCCTGCTTCCACAGCCTGTTTGCAACGACTGCTACCACCTATGCTTCAGGAATTGGAAAGACGTTCTTGCACCCTCGGTGCATCAAACACTAGGGCTGCTCTTTTCTGGGCCAAACAGGAGCCACAAAGACTCCACAGGCCACCCATAAAGCAAACAGCAGCAATACCCCCAAGCCAAACTGGGGTCCGTAAGAACTGTAGCCATAAGAGCTCCAGTGTGGGGAGTAAAATGGTGGCTGTTTTTGCATCACCATATCTTGGTGCCAGAGGTGACAAACTCCAGCAGCACCCTCCAAAACTATAATAAGACAACAGCACAAGCCCCATTCAAATCCTCTTGTGCCACTCCTATTCCTTCTGGGGTTTGTGCACAGAGTACATTGTGCTCCAACAGTCAAATCCATTTGACTTGTGCCCAGCTGCCTTTAATGGACACCTGCTTCACCTTGCCTTGCAAGACATCCATATGATGGAACGGCAGTGGCCCTTAACCTTCTTAACCTTCCCAGTTAAGCAGTAGATTTGTAATGCTGAAAGCCTCTGCTGCATGAAGAGAAGACCCATGCATGCCTCAAGGCAGCATGGAATTAGCAGGTCAGAAGAAGGTGGCTTGCCTTTTATGGCAACCCTTGTATGAGCCCATGAACAGGGTGTTGAAAATGGCACATGGGACGGTGTAAAGGTGGGGACCCCAGTATCACTCATCAAACACAAACAGATCACCTTCTAAACAGTGTGCTAGTAATTTCATGGCATTTCCTACAACAGTGAAAGGGGCTGAAGAGACAGTTCCCTATCTGTGCATGACAGCAATAGGACACTACCTTCCGAGGCTAATTTTCTAGGCCCCTCAAGGTAGCAGCAGGAACGCAAGACAGATAGATGAGGACGGGGCAGCAGCTTTTTGGCGGGCTGTGCAATGCATCAAGGGAGTATGTGACTCATCTCTAACCTCTATGTAAACAAGGATGTGGTTTCTGGTGTGGGGAAGTAGAGCTGGCAGTTCCAGCAAGTCACATGGGCATCGGCTTTTCTACGAAACTTCTGTTATGGTCACCACCCCAAGCCCCATTTTTGTTGATGATCTGTGCACGTGCACAGAGGCCCGCTCAGTAAAGACACAAACAGAAACGAAAGCCCTAGTCCATGCTCCAAAACATACCCCGGGAAGAATTAGGGCTATGGTAAAACCTTGGTAGGAAGTGGGAGGCTACAGTTGCATACAGCTTTTTTCTCCATTAAGGAAGCTTTGTGTTGCATGCTTATTGTGTTTGTTTTGTTTTAACTATTGCATTTTCAGTTTTTAGTACTATAAAGTGGAACCTCCTGTTACGTACTGCCCTCCTTAAGAATGCTTCGAGTTACGAGCTCCGCTAACCCGGAAGTAGATGCCCCTTGTCGCGAACTTTGCCCCGGGATGCGAGCGGAAGTCGCATGCTGGCAGAGCGGGAGGCGCCATTAGAAAAAGTGTGCCTCACGTTAAGAACAGTTTTGGGTTACAAACGGACCTCCGGAACAAATTAAGTTCGTAACCGGAGGTGGTACCTCGTGTTAAGTACTTAATTCGTTCTGGAGGTCCGTTCTTAACCTGAAACTGTTCTTAACCTGAAGCACCACTTTAGCTAATGGGGCCTCCTGCTGCCGCTGCACCGCCGGAGCCCCATTTCTGTTCTTACCCTGAAGCATTATTTCTGGGTTAGCGGAGTGTGTAACCCAAAGCGTATGTAACCTGAAGTGTATGTAACCCGAGGTACTACTGTACTCTGTTTTGTTTTTTGTGAGACACCTTGAGAACACCTGACTCCCAGTCTGTATTTCAGGCTGATCAATTGTTATTCTTAGAAAAAAGCTATAAAACATATGATGGCTTTCCACAGCCTCCTTCCTCAAGATCTGGAGGGAGGGTAAGGGTGACAGGAAACTTTTTTTCTTTTTAGTCTAACATTTCAGGTCCTGATGGTTACATCTTAAAAAGTAGGTAATAGCAAAATTGCTAAAGAGCAGGAACACAGAGACAAAAGCAGCCCCGGTTCATTTCATTGTTCAGCTTTTACATGACTTCTAAGAACACCTACTGAAATTATTCAAAAGCTGACATAAGACTGGGTGTTTGAGGGCAAACTTTCTGAGTTCACATACTATGTGAGGCACAAGTGGAACACAACACCAAGCACAACCACAAAGACAGGCAAACAAGGCTCGCTGTATGTATCTAAAATGTCTCTCTGACCCAGGGACTTGCCAGTAAAGCAAGACATGAGCATCGCTGAAACTCCTGGGTGATTATGCCTCATACAGTTTCAATCTCAAAGCAGTTCAAATTCACAGAATTTCCGAGGTATCGCTGCTGGTTAATAACTCACATAAAAGTGTCAACAA